ACGGTAAATCCTAAGCTTTTCGAAGTATTTGGTAGAAATATTTAGGTTAACTCTGAGTTAGTTTATCGTGATGATAACATTTACAACTTGGGATTCACCCATGGCAATGAAACTTTGTAACCGGGTCTAGCAATATAATAGGAGGAATATATTTTAACAGCGAGTACGAGATTCGTCATTCTCGCGCGTTGTTTGCTTACGCCATTAGCCAAAACTCGTAGTCGCCTTTAGTCGCCGGGTTTTTGAGTACGAGTTTGTTAGTAAATTTCGTAATCGAAAGTAACATATAGCATGAACTTTTAAAAATCAAGGTTTGTGGCCAGACATGTTCACAGATATTTTCAAGCCGTGTACAGTCACCATGTGAAATTGTTACCCCTCGGAGAAAGGCACCCATGATCCGCGTGCCCTATAGGCGCTTTTACACTCGTCAATTTTCCTTGCAAATTTCCCATACTGCGGCAAAATCAGTTCTTTGGTACTAAGTTGATTTGAAAAATTCATAAATGATACTTTAATAATATAAAAAAATGTTGAAAAAAATTGCTGTGCCTACTGCCAACAGTTGACATGTAAAGACTTGTAGCACACACACATATATATATATATATATATATATATATATATATATATATATATATATATATATATATATATATATATATATATATATATATATATATATATATATATATATATATATATTTCGAGTGGTATTATACACACTTGAAATTCAAGCCAGGAACAGTTGATGGAAAAATGAGTCAACTATAGGTCCTCTGGCAGGAATCCTGGCATTACCATCCTCTGGCAGGAATCAAACCCGGCATTACCATGTATACTCATTAACCATGCTTGCTCTTGTGAGCTACCTCTGTAGCTCAGTGGCAAGAGCATTGCACCGGCATCGCAAAAGCGTAGGTTCAATTCCTGCCAGAGGACCTATAGTTGACTCATTTTTCCATCAACTGTTCCTGGCTTGAATTTCAAGTGTGTATAATTCCACTCGAGATTAAGACCTTTTAAAGGTTTAGAATTTACCTGCATGTGAAGTGCCAAAAATCATATATATATATATTTCTGAAACATTAACATTTAAGACCTAACGAATCGTGCTTTGGAGACTTATTACGTCTATTTAATAACTTATTACTACAAAACTTATTACGTCTATTAGAGGTGATTACAAGCCAATATTCACTGAGCTGAAGGCGAAGTGAATATAGGCTTGTAATCACCGAGCCTGAGACTTGTAATCACCGGGCCTAATTGTTTTAGTATAAATTTCGATGTGTTCACAAATAATAGTCAACATAATTTCATAAAAATTTATAATGACTTCAAATTTCTTAGTTGAAAATATGAAATGCAACAACAAAAAGCTATATAGTCACCAACCAGTGACTATCACTGGTTGGTAACTATATGATGATTGCTTGTTGCATGAAACTTGAAGTAGCAACTTATTCATTCAAAAATTGTAATGAAAACATTAAATTATATATATATATATATATTCAATCATCAGGCGCCTAAATTTCAGTTGTTTTGGCATGAAACTCAGAGTAGCGATGCCAAATTTTTAAGAATTATGGAAATGAATAAATAAATATTGCTCTACTAGCTTGCAGTATTGAGCACTCTTTTATTTCAAAGAAGAATGCCTTAATAATTTATATATATATATATATAACAATTATAAATACAATTCTTTCAATTAGTTTCTACTTTAAGTTTCATGCATTTAAGCAATCATTAGGCAACATACTAATTTGTTATAACATGCTCTGCATTCTATGTATTGAGCACTCTGTGTTCTACAAAAGTCTATTTGGAATAGATTTATATATATATATATATATATATATATATATATATATATATATATATATATATATATATATATATATATATGTATATATATATGTATATATATATATACACCCATTTGCAAAAACGTTGGCCGCAGATAGATAGATAGATAGATACTCGAAGACTAATTAGAATTGCATATGATTACATTTGCATGGGATTTCTATAATATTGCACAACATATGAAATTCTAATTAGATTTTGAGTATCTATCTATATATCTATCTGCGGCCAACGTTTTTGCAAACGGGTGTATATATATATATATATATATATATATATATATATATATATATATATATATATATATATATATATATAAATCCCTTGTTTTAAATATGTAAATTTAGTCCATCTTTGCAGAATATAACATCTATTGTACATTGACCTAACCGGCGAAACGTCTGGGACAATTTTTAGAACTTTTTTTAATGCCTGTAGAAGAACTTTTTATATATGTAGGCTTTATTATATATGTTCTCCGTGTTTACCACACTTACCCTTGACGGGCATATTCAAGTAACCTAAGAATGTAAATTTGTCCCTTTCCCTCACCAGCTCACTCATTACGAGTGCCTAGGCCTTGGGACCCTAGGAGGCGGTTTAAAAGGAGAAAGGAACACACACACAACCCAAGCCATACATCCATCCAAAGCGTTCATCAGCTTGAATGTGAGAGATCGATTTTACGTATTTATCAGTGCGAATGTACATTCTTAACATATCAAATGTCCAAGTGCCACACAACTCATCTCATGGTCGTCATGAACATTCTTACAATTCAGGAAATAAGTATATTTAAAATACGTAGGTATACTATACATAGGAATACCATAGGCGCCAAGTACTTTTGGCTAATAACCAAAAGTTCTCGGCGGCTGGCGCGGATAATATCCTATTTTCCTAGGTATTTTAACTATACAGTCATATTTTCTGCATTGTCAGAATAAGTCCAATAGATGTTATATACTGCAAAGCTAGACTAAATTTACATATTTATACTAGGGATTAAGATATAGCCAATTATGAGCTAAAACATTATTGCCTTAAGGCTGTGTTACACTATGCAACTTTCCTTGCAACTTGCAATGCAATTCTACTCCTGAGACATCTAAAGTTGTCAAATACGAACATTTCTTACGATCTGTTAACGTTTTCTTAGCATTTCGAACACTCTTCACTAATTAACATCCCTCGGAATTATAATTGCATTGCAAGTTGCAAGAAAAATTGCATAGTGTAACACCGCATGACATATAGCCTCCTCCGCAGGCATCTCTTATGTATTTATATTAGGCATTTATATTTGATTTGGGTTAGCTGTGTCGGGGAAGGCGGGGAAAAGCAAATTTTTTTTCTCCCTCCCCGACACAACTAACCCAAGCTAAATTATATAAATGCCTAATATAAATACATAAGAGATGCCTGCGGAGGAGGCTAAGAATGACATAAGAATAATCATTTAAATGGTAATTGTTCTACCGATGCATCCGTTTATTATATATCCTAATCTTTTCCTAATTTCAAAAGCTTCAATGCATTTGCGTTCATCATCAAGATTGATGTTGAAATGTAGAATTTCAATCAGAATGTATCGATGGACTATCCTCTGTGTTTGTTCTGTGAGATTCAATATGTTTGTAGATCGTTTGCTTGTTCATGGTTAAATGTTAATGCGTGTGCCAATTGTCCTACTAGTTTCTCCAATATAAAATTGAAATAAAGGCATTCAATTTCATACACAACGTTCTTGTTATGACAACGGTTCGGTATTTTCCCCAATTTGCAAGTCTCGCATTTTTCAGAGCAACCCATGGTTTCCTTACGTTCAGAAAATGGATTCTAACGTTTTTTAAACCTGATCGACGGACTACAGCAAGCGAGCGTCGTTTAAGTTCCTCGTTGACATAAGGTAGCTTCATATAAATACAGTTCTCCTGAACATCCGTTTCTTGTTTGTTGTGTAGTACGTGTTGAATAGTAACCTTAACAAATGATTTGGGATAGCCGTTCTTGATAAACTTTTGGGTTACTTTACGCAAGGATTCTTTTCAATCGGTTGATCGAGAGATAGCATGATTTATTTCACCAATTAAAAAAGCTCGATTTCTCTGATCAATATTTTAGAAAAAATCAATCAGCTCCTGATCAATGAAGTTGCTTGAATTCTTAACGCTATTATATATGCACGATAGTACACGATCGAAAATATAAACGAAGATGAAAACCAATATATTTCAACATGCATTCGCAAAATGGCCTTCGAATTTGCGCCGTGAGGAATATTGAGCGCTTGTTCCGTGACATCATGGGTGCCTTTCTCCGTGGGGTAATACATCTCAAGGGGTAATACGAATCACTATGACAGCCGAAGGCTTCAAACAATCCCAAAGTGATCCGTCTGACAGGGTCAGCAGTAAAGTTCTACTACTAAATTTAGCTGATTGTTTTTGTTATTCAGATTACTCCACGTTCTTCAAAGACAAAGAGTATTGCCAGCTGGTATTACAAGCTTTTAATAAAAGATTCGTGCACATAAATTATTAATTTCGTGTATTTAGTGCTTGAAAGAACAGCTGGACCATAAAATTGGCTGACGATCTGATGACAGCAATGCTAGCGAATCGCTATACCAATGATAATATTGATATCATACTCTCGGCAGAAAAAATATCAAAGGACAGAAAATACAAAGACCAGATAAAAAGGAGAGTTACTAACGCAGTCTGTGCCTTGTTGAATAGCAATGGTGGAACGGTGGAAATACGTGGTGAAGAAACGGAAGGTAACTTGGTTTCGATCACCACGAAACTCCACTCTTTCACTCGAAAGCTAGAACAGTCATTGATATCTTGGTTCGGACCTAGCATATCCGAGTCGGTTATACATTTTAAGGACAAACAAAAGAAAATGATAGCAATTACAGTCCGTGAAGCCTGCTCCCTCGTTACTATTCAATACAATCTTTACGTCACGACTGAAACTGTAGTACTGCCCACTAGCAATGTCCCGACCGCCTATGAAATATTAAACAGAAGATTTGCTGATCACCCGGTTGAAATTGGCTCACAAAACAAAATATTTTTCAAAAATCAAATCTGTATCGGGGAAAGTAAAGTAGTCCAATTCAAGAACCTGAAATCAGATTCATCAAAGCGCGTCACACTCGCAGATCGTATGATTGGTAAAAGTAACAAATTCAGTTGTTACGTATCAGCGTTCGCTAACCACAGGGGTGGTCACATTTACTATGGTATTGATGATGATGGCATTGTCCAGGGAGAGAACATAGAAGAACATTCGGAAATTGAGAAGAAAGTTGAAAAATCCATCCAGAAGATGATCTGGCCTGACGTGATTGGTCGACCAAAGCGAGGAGAACACTGGGAAATTTTCTTTGAACCAGTGCTGGACGAGAAGTCCAACCCTATCCCATCAACGTTTGTGATCGTGATCTTTATCGCTCCTTGTTTTGGTGGAGTGTTCACAGAGGAACCAGAAAGCTATGAAATGGTGGAGGGAAAAGTTAAAAGAATGTCGTTCACAACTTGGAAGGCGAAACTACAACCTGGTTATCTAAACAAAACAAAACAAGAAGTTCCTCCGACTATTAAATGTATTTCATTACGTCCTGCGGCAAATAAATGTTGCACTGAGGTTAACGAAGTTTTAACTGAGGCCATAAATAACGCGAATTGGGAATCTTTCACGAGACGTGCCATAGAATTTAAACAGAAATATCCCAACAATCTTGAGGTAAAGTTAATCGTGTTGTCCAAGAAAGTGAGGGCAAATTATCGACAAGGCAATATTCCAAAAGCGTCCATCTTACTCACTCAATTCCAAAATTGGTTTCCCCGAGTAGAGCAACCCTTGGTTTTTGAAGTGCTTTTTTTATCTCTGAATGCAGCAATAGCGCGTGTGTCTGGCGAAAATGCTATATATCGGGATATCTCAACTGACGCTTTAACCAAAGCAATAAGCCTGGAACCCGGACTTTATACTGCTGCTGTCTTTTTAGTCGCTGCATCAATTTATGAATGTCAAGACGACGCAGAATTCTCGCCAGAGATACTTTGTATCAAGGCACTGGAACACCTGGAGTATGTTGAAGATGCTCCAGTGGCACGGGCAGAGAAGTATCATAATGCTCATATCACATTAGCAGCGTATCATCTGGGATATAATTTGTCAGGAAAGATAATTAAAAAAGCCATCGATAAAGAAAGCTTGAAAAAGGCCCAAGCAAGTTTAATGGCAGTAAATCACTCAGTTGTATGTGACGGAAATCCACTAACGGGATACAGAGAGATTTGGTTCACATTGGCACGATCAATGCTTTACATCAGACACTCGCAACTTGAACCAAAAAAGCAAACGAAATTCCTCAAAGATGCATTTAATTACGCAAAGAAAGCTGAGAATCTCGCCAAACATTTTGGTCTCGTGGAAATGGTTTCCTGGGCTCAGACTACAATTGCTTCTTGTATTGAGGCATTATTACTTGCAAAGTTGAAGGCAATAAAAAAGTTCAACTTAAAGGTATTTAAATCACAGCAAAAAGTATAGAAACAACTCGAGACAGCGATATGGCACTAAGACTATACTTGAGTATGTTCAGTCAAATGTAATCATGATATAATTACCGAATGTGAACAGTGTGATCAAACAGACACAAACTCGTGTTTAATATAGCTTTAGATAATATAAACATCTGTTCGTGAAGTTTCTGTTAACCTGGACAATTTAGGTAACAACCAAAAGCACCTTAGAACCAAAAGCATTTATAAACTCAATGTAGACAGTAATAGTATATATGGGAACATTAAAAAACTGTGTAGCTTGAGAAAAAAAAGGAACAAAATAGTAGGTATATAAGCCAAAACTAGTTAGGGAATTTACATCGTATCATACTTATACTTTCTTTTGCACTACCGTTACCGCAATCTAAGTACAAATCGAGGACCATTTTTTACCTCCAGTACAGGATAGGAAAATCTATCGATTGTTTGTCAAATAAATAAGTAGTCTGTAATTAGAAAGAGGAGATAATAATTGCATATAATTGCAAAGAATCGACCACTTGCATAATGGACTATCTTCAGTTGATGTATCAAGGAAATAAATACCACAGCTGAAAAGAGTACTAGCACAATTGCAAAATCAGTTGTAAAATGTGAAGTAGTTTTAAAGAAAAATATAGCAAAGCAAATTGGAAAATTTTGTATATTATTGTATTATAGGTGGAAGTGTGTAACTAAATTAGTTACATACTCCGCAATCGATGGACCTTTTCGTTAATTACGTCACAACATTATCGCTTTAAATTTCGAGCCACTTTATGAGATGGATTTCAAGTTTTACTCTCACAAGCTATGTGGAAAGATGCAAAACATCCTGCTTCAACACATGTATGAAAAAGAATTTTTCATTTTGACAAACGCGAGAACGAGAATTTAACATTTGTTACTAGTGTCACAGAATACCTATCAGTAATGTCTAAAATGCCTCCATTTTTAATTTTGGCGGGGAGGGGGCGATTGCCTCTATTTACGGTACTTGTTGAGTGACGAATGACGAATCACACTTACGAAAAAAAACAATAGAGTTATTCTTCTGATAGGTATTCTCACTATTCTGTGCTAGTGTAAAAGATTGATTTTCCTCATGGTGTCTTGAGACAATCTCGTAACCAGAGCCCGCGATCCTTCAGGGGAAGGAGTCAGTGAAGGGCAGTGAACTCAAATAAGACTGGAACGCTAGCTCTGAAAAAATTGAAGCCAAGATGGCGGATCATGAAGCCTTTTTACCTTTGAAATTTCCGTGCCAGAGGCCTGGATCAATACCTACAAGAAAGGCTTCATGATCCGCCATCTTGGCTTCATTCATTAATCAGAGAAAGTCAGAGAGCTAGCGTTCCAGTCTTATTTGAGTTCACTGGTTAAGGGTTTGGTCTTGGGAGTCATTCCTAGCCCCCAATCCTGGGGAGAATCTTCGTGCATCGTTCACAAGCGCTAAGCTGTCGCGATGACGCTTGCGTTATAAGTGGAGCGTGTGGCCTGTGTACACGCTCTATAGGTGCCAGCCTCCTCCGCAGGCATCTCTTATGTTTTTATATTAGGCATGGGTTAGAAATAACCCATGGGTTAAAGGTATATAGGCAGGAACGGATTTCCTTTTCCTTTAGAAGACTTTAAAGTGGAAGTCAAGATAATTCTGCGCATCGGTTCTTCTCATAACAATGGGTTCTCTCTATAAATTTTTTCCCATATTTCAATTAGAACTAATAATACAAATAATAACATGGTCGCCTTGGTTTCTTTTGTGTCAACAGGGACGTTAAATGACGTGTTTCCCCTGTTCCCCAAGCACCGGGATGGCGTATATTTAGTTCTAATGAGGGACGTTCAAAACTGAACAATTAATAATAAACTGAAACAACGAATTCAATTACACACAACTTTCAATCGCTTTATCTTCGTTCGCTGAAACAATTCAAGAACAGAATTCACAAACAAAAAGCTTCATTGAATTTCTTATTCCCTCGCTCGTCATCTTATTGCAAAATAAACACATTTTGAGAAAATAAATGAGAAACTGGACTGAAAATTGGCAACTAAATTTCAACTTTGAGAAATGCGAAGTAATGCGGATAACACATTCTAAAGACCCCACTCTACCTGAATACTATTTATCAAACAGGAAACTCGAAGTAACAAACGAATTCAAAGATCTAGGTATTATGATGTCACATACTAGCTTGGTCATCTCATGTCCACAATATTACTAGTAAAGCAAACCGTATGTTAGGTCTGGTTAAGCGGACCGTCGGGTCATCCAATTCAGCAATATTCACTTTATTGTATAAAGCTTTGGTTAGACCTATATTGGAATATTCTGCTCCAGTTTGGTCACCTTACTTATTAAAGGATATTAAGGCCCTCGAATCCGTACAGAGAAGAGCATCGCGGATTGCACTTAAACAGAAACGGGGAGAGATGTCCTACCCAGATCGCTGTGACTTATTAAAATGGAATACTTTGGAGAAACGTAGAGAATACTTATCTTTCATAGAGTGCTATAAAACAGTCCTTGGCCTAAATGGCATAAACTTCGATGAAATTTTTGAATTTAAGAAATCGAGGAAAACTAGATCAAATCATAAATATTCATTATATCCCAAGCTCTCTAGAGTTAACTCTTATAAGCACTCTTTCTTTGTTAGAATAATTAGTCCATGGAACGCATTACCTCAAAATGTCGTGGAAGCGAATAGTTTCCGCAGCTTCAAGCAGGAACTTAAGCGTCACATGAACATTTACTAGAACAATAACATACTAATACGCTTTCTAAATTTTAACAAACTATTAATGTAAATAACTTTTTTTTTTTATCAACTAATCTTCCTAAGGGGGTTCTAAAATAGGGTTAACCTTCCGATTCCTCCTGCAAGGACCTACCTCTTGTAATAATTTGTAGGTATCTTGATTAAATTTTTTGATTGATTGATTGATTGATCAACACATAGCTTTGAACGTCATTAGCGGTTATAAATATTCTAATCACTGAACCATTTCGATAAAGAGATCTCGCTAAACAAAAGCATCTAATCTATTGTTTTTTTCCCTCGGCGATAAATGTTTTTACAAACCAGTGAACTCAAATGGATGTATTAGAGTTCACTGTTACAAACTAATCGCATGCTTTAAGGGATATTAGTGATCAAATGTACACCTGTAGGTTGCGGGAGGTTTAGTAAAAGTAAAAAGTCTTACTTTTACTAAACCTCCCCTCGGTTTGCGGGAATAACAAAAATCAATCTTATTTTATTTTATCCCCCGGATAAATTTATCCAACGGATAGTGTATTCTTATCCGTTGGATAGCGCCATCCAAGCTTAGCTTGGTACAACGCAATTTTAAGCTTGAATAAAATCTATTTATCCGCCTGATAGCGAGTAGCGACTTATCTTTCGCGTTTGATACAACCGGCCCCAGAAGGCCAGAACATTCGTAACTAATTCGTTCACATCTATCAAAAGAAGAAAATCGCAGCAGAAAGTATAAAGGTCTTTAGGGATTTCCCCTAAATGGCTGAATTTGGAAACGAAAGGAAATATTGTCGTCAGATTTTTACGCTCTAGAAAAAGTTCTTATACAACGCAGATAGTCTCAATAATAGCTTCATCATAAGTAAGTACACACACCAATGTGTATATATGTTTTTCTGCTTTATAAATTAAGTAAATTCAGGCAAAATTTTCATGTGTTCTGTGCCTACTATAATTATCAGAGCATATAAAATTTGTTTGTAAACATTCGGTATTAACAACTGAGGAGCTTTTCTCATATTTGTACTTTAAATAGTGGGATTAGGTAAAATCTGAACATACATTACAGTCTCTTGAGGTGCCTCCCTTATTGTAACAATTTACAATTGTTAAATGAAAATTTGAACAGGGATATTAATTTAGCATTACTCTGAATGTTTGGAAGACTAGAATTAATGAAGCAATATCAAACGTTTAAAAATTGTCAAGTAGTTCAGTTGTGTCCAGCAATTGTTGCTATAGCAAAAGCCATGTTTCAAAATGGTTGCTTGCATAGTGATTGATATTTCCCCATGAAATATTTCTTTCATGCCTTCAGAGAAAAACCCAGTGTGATTACTGGAACTTGCCATAGTGCCTACCTATCAGAATAACCTTATTTATTCCCAACAAGCAAACATGGAGGAGTGATACTTTTTTTGAAATAAAAGGCCAATGGATGCACATGCATACTAGCTAGTACATCTTGTTTCAGCTCTCAGGCACAAGAATTAAGTTAATATGATGATGATAAAATATAAACTATATATTGCGTCAGGATGTCAACTTTATACAACATTTACATTTTCCATACATACATATAAACATATACATACATATGAATTTCATTTTCTCTTGTTAACCATTAGATTGTAATGCACCCACATAAGTCTTACTGTAGTGTTTTACTTTGTCAAATATGATTTACCATATGATTTTGCTCATTAGTGCAACAAAATTAGTGCCAGTTTACAATGGGTGCATGCTTGTTGACCCATTAGCTTCTAATACACCTAGATGTGCCCTACTTTATTGTTTTACTATATCTATAATGCCAGATGATTTTACTATGCATCAGTGGTATAGTAGTGGCGGGTAATTTGTTAAACTTTGCTCCTTTAGTTCTAATCCAACCTATGTTGAGCCTTGAGTTCCCGTAAAAGAAATATGATTGATGATCTTTTTTTGTCAACTTTATGCAAAAAGCCAAAAAGGAGAATCTATGACTATTTCCATGGTCTGGGTTTGCTTCCATAACCTACATACATGAGTACCTATATAACCTGTAACATATTTTAACAAACTCTTTTGTGGTGCATGTGTATGCACACTGTTTTAATAGGCATACGTACATGTATGTCAGCTGACCAAGTTTGAGGTGAGGTGAGGTGAGGTGAGGTGAGATAAGGTGAGGCCATTCTTCTTCAACAAATGAGTAAAAATGAATTTGTATTTTTTACCAATAAATCTGCAAATAAGCCGTGATACTAAAACAAGGCCATCAGGCTAAAACCGGGAGCCTCGTTTTAGAGTAATAGCTTATTTTGCACTTATTTTCCAAAATGAAAAATTATTTTTCAAGCATATACTGAAGATCGAACGATGTTTTGCAAATTTGCACGTGGCTCGTGAAAGTAAAACTTGAAATCCATCTCGTTTAAGGTGGTTCTAGATTTAAAACCATGTTGTGATGCTATTCCAAGAGACTGTGGGAAGGCAGCTACGTTAATTACTTTTATGTAATGTGATTTATTTACGCATAGATATATTGCCAGCCATGAATTTTGCATACCTCTTCCGCAGCTCAGTTTTCTGAGCATCAATAATGACACATTGAATTTTACAAAACCATATTTATGAATACATTCCATTAAAATTCCAAATATTTATGCTCAGAAAAGGGTCTCTTGCTCTTGGCCATTGACCACCTTTCTCATATTGCGTGCACTCCATTACCTGTCGGACAGTCTTTTAGATCCGACACCAAGCCCGTCATATGAGAGTTTTAATTATCACCTGGCTCGAGGGTACACCTTGCCTTGGTAGTCTATTTATAAAATCACATTACATAAACTTCTTATTTTCTTCGATCGCATTAATATTTTGTTAAAAAGGAAAGAAATTACCATGGCTAGGAAGAGCATACTAGTGAAAATTAGTATAATTGCAAAGATTATAGTTGCGAAAATTTTATAAAATATTTGCGTAAATAATAAACAACTTAGCCGAACATTTGTCGGTTTCTGGTAAGTGACTGTGATGGTGATCCAAAACTCTGAAGTCAGACAAAATCTGAACTGAAGCACTCACTACCTATTATGCAGTAACAACGAAAACTCTAGATCTATCAGTCACCCTGATTTTTTTTCACTTAGAGTATTTCCAGTAGATGGTATCAAAAGCATTTGAAGAAAGATACGTACACATAAATTACAATCGTTTCGTGAATTAAAGTCGTAGATCACTTATTCACAGAAAACTTTTACTATGCGTTGTCTGACGAGATAGCAGCCGCAATGCCAACGACACGTGAGAATGCCGTTGTTCATATAACATTCTCGGTAGAAAAATTATCGAAGGATAAAAAACACCGAGAGCAGAAGAAAGAGGAAGTTGTTAATGCAATCTGTGCCTTGTTGAATAGCAATGGCGGTACAGTGGAAATACGTGGTGAAGAAACGGAAGGAAACTTGGTTTCCACCAAGATACTCGACTCCTTGACTCGAACACTAGAACAATCATCACAATCCCGGTTTGGAACTCAGGGAACCATAATTTGTGATAAAAAAGAAGAGAAAATGATAATTACAACAGTGGGTGAAGCTCCCTTCCTCGTCACAATTAAATACAATCTTTACCGACCCACTCAAAAACAAGTGGAGGTGATTAACAATGTTCAGAATGCGTTCGAAATAATGAACGAAAGATTTATTGCTCAACCTGTCCAATTTGGCTCACACCAAAAAACATTTTTCATGAATCGAAACTGTTGCTTCGTAGAAAATGAGAATACTCAATTCAAGCACCTGAAATCAGATTCATCAAAGCGTGTCACACTCGCAGATCGTATGATTGGTAAAAGTAACAAATTCAGTTGTTACGTATCAGCGTTTGCTAACCACAGGGGTGGTCATATTTACTATGGTATTGATGATGATGGCGTTGTTCATGGGGAGAACACAGAAAACATTTCCGAAATTGACAAGAAAGTTGAAAAATCCATCCAGAAGATGATCTGGCCTGACATGATTGGTCAACCGAAACGAGGAGAACACTGGGAAATTTTCTTTCAACCAGTGCTGGACGAGAAGTCCAATCTTATCCCATCAACGTTTGTGATCGTGATCTTTATCGCTCCTTGTTTTGGTGGAGTGTTCACAGAGCAACCAGAAAGCTATGAAATGGTGGAGGGAAAAGTTGAAAGAATGTCGTTCACAACTTGGAAAAAGAAACTACAGCCTGTTGGTCGAAACAAGAGAAAACAAGAAATTCCTTCCACAACCGAATCTGTTTCATTATGTCCTGCGTCGAAGAGATCCTGCCTTGAACCTCAAGAAGTTCCTTCCGCCATCAAACGTATTTCACTAGGTCCAAGGGCAAATGAACGTTGCATTAAGGTTAATGAACGTTTAACCAAGGCCATGAATAACGCAAATTGGAAGGAATTTGAAATATTGGTCAGGTATTTTAAACAAAGATATCCTCACATGCATGAAGTAAAGTTAATAGTATTTTTGAGGAGGTTGATGGCAACTTATCGACAAGCCGGCAACGAAGCGTCTAACTTGTTTAGTGAATATCGATATCTCTCGCGAGCAGGGGAACCTTTTGAAAGTTTTTATCGTTTTTCGAAAAAAGTAGTGGCGCGCGTGTCCGGCAAAGCTGCAACTGAATCTCAGGATATCTCAACTGCCGCTTTAGCCATCGCGGAAATGATGGAACACGGGCTTCTTACCGCTGCTGTTCTTTTAATCGCGGCTTTAGTGTATGATAGTCAAAATGACGAAGGACCGTCGCCTGAGAAACTTTGTCTCATGGCACTGGAACACCTTGAGTATGCTGAAGACGCTACTCTGGCACGACCAGACATGATTCATACTGCACATATCATATTAGCGACATATCACATGGGGTATTATTTGCCAGGAAAGCTAATCAAGAAAAACATTGACAATGGAAGCCTTGAAAGAGCCAAAAATAGTTTAATGAAAGTACGTCAATCAGTATATGATGGAAATCAACTAATGCCATACAGAAAGATTTGGTTCAAATTGGCAGAATCAATGCTTTACATGAGACACTCGCAATTTGAACCTGAAAATGAAAGCAAACACCTCACTGCAGCATTAGATTACGCAAATAAAGCTGAGAATCCCGCCAGAGATCTTGGGCTCAAGGAGATAGTAAGCTGGGTTCAGAAAATGCGACTTTTTAGCTTGCCCTAGATCAAACGATCGGTATGATGTGACGGACCACTAAAGTGCACATTAAAATTTGCATAAGGTGGATACTGTATAAATAACATTTCAATACCATGCAGTGCAACTAATTAAACTTTTATTACTGAATAAGAAAGAGTTGTTGCAAAGAAAGATTGTAGAAACAAAGATACGAGTAAAGCACAGCAAAAGACGTAGGAACAACATGAAACGATAATATAGTGCACGTACCAAAGAACTTGTTTAACCGATGTATAATAATGATATAATTACATAATATAAACTTATACACTTGTAAACTATATAACATATTAACGGCTGTATTTAGCTGTTTAGTGTATGTGATAAACCATTACTATCACTATTACCAAGACTCTAACGCCTGTATTCTAAAAGCTCACTCACACTCAAACTCATTGAGTAGGAGATCTTAATCTTCTCATAAAGTTTCAATGGCGGTATTTCCAGCTGAACAGGGGCTTGATTTTCAGTGACTTACCTTATATCTTTCCATCTATTCAGATAAAACTTTTTCATTGATCAGCATTAACGAAAATTATATGTCACATTCGATGAGTATGAGTGTGAGTGAGCTTTTTGAATACAGGCGTAAGTCTCTAATTATACTATAGACGGATAATTCGTATGTACAAAATTGTGTTGCATTTAATACGTTTACTATAAACGATTTGATTCGTCCTAATTTTAAAACAAAGTATATCCGTCCGTATGAACTTAGGATTAAGCTCGTCTGGACAAATTAAATCCGCTTATAAACATAGCGAATATGACGTTTATAAACTGCAGCAAATATCAATTGGTTATTTTTGATAAATAGTTAAGAGGATAAATAGTTGAGAACTGTATACGAAGTATATAATCATGCAATAACTCTGAAAAATAAAGAGAACTCAATGTTTCTCGAAAGGAAACAAAAAAAAGGAAAATAGTAACTAGCTATATAACTACTGTATATGAGTAGGCTAAAATAGATGGGATAAAAATAGACGGGATGTTAAATTATTTTATTTTATATGGATGGAAATATATTTTATATGCGTTTTATATAACAAAAGAAACAGCGAAATAAATAAAGTAATGTCTAATGATGATAGGCACAAAGATTTATTGCCCAGTTCCAGCCAACGAGTTTCAAGCACAGACCGTATACGGCCAAAATGCAACGACTATCGATCCGTTCTCCCACGCTGCGTGGGCCGTGGAGCGTAGGTAAAAGAGCCTGGCTTGCGAGGTTGCCGTTTTTCCTATGGCTCTTCGCCGTGGACATGTGCAAGCAAAGTCTCCACTCTCCCGTGATAGACTGCATGTGAATGATGTTATTAGGACAGAATATCATTTGAATTTCCCTGCTTTCGAGACAAATATAACAACGGCAATATGAAACCGCTAACGTGGAACCGCGGTTTGCGGTTCGCCCTAAACGTCACTCTGAAACGCTTTATTTCTAAAACCAGCCATCTTTTATACTTCATTTTGTTATTAAGCCAAGATTAACATTGTTGTTGCTGTAGGATTCGCCTCATTTAATCACACTGACTGGTGTGCCAAACAATAGAGTCGGGGAAAATGACCCTCACTAAATAATGAGGGCGAATCTCGTATAGGGAAGCCCCCTAAATACAATGTCAATGTCAATTATTAAAGTAGAAATGTGCTGTGTCACAAGATTGGGGAATATTCGTTTACTGCTGATGAAGCGTTGTTAGTTGTGACAAATTCTCGCAACAAAACGTATACAATACATCGTAAGGTAAGTACACACATCGATATACTTTTATTTCGCTAAATAAATCCAGGCAGAATTTTAAGTAAAGGATCGTCAGACTCAGTGCCTGTGGATTGAATTTCGTGTCATGTCATATTTTAACAAATATAATTCGAAATTTCGAAGGAATTGTTTTTAGAGATTATTCTTTCTACGCTGTTTAGAGATGTGTTCAGTAATGACGTAATGTTAACGAAATTTTAGGACAATATAGTGCGAATGTCGCACGGCTTTTCGATATAAAGTTATACGTATTATATGTAGCTAATTCGTATATATCACTGAAGCAAAACTAAGCAACAATTATCGTTTCATGCTTGCTCGTAATTCATATAGATTACGGTTTTCACATTCGGTCCCCGTATTTAAAATATGAATTTAGTTTCCGGTACGTCTCTGGCAACAGTATTGACTATCGTACATATTTTACCATGTATAGGGATATGTATCATTTCATCAACTCGTATTTGTTTATCCATGCATAGACGCGTGAAAGACGCGGTATATAACAGGCATCTGATATAAAGTTTGAGTTCAATGTTTTGAATTCGGTGAAATGTTACACGAAACAACTTTCAACATCAACTCACAACGTTGCTCATAACACAACAATGTTTTGAAAAAGGTTCACGCGTCAAATATGATATATATTGAGCATCAAATGTGGTATAACAACTGCCTAAATAGACAAAACACTTCTCGACGTTTCGAACAGAGGGCCTTCGTCATACCAACTCTCCTGACGAAGGCCCTCAGGTTGATTGAAGACGTTGCCACGCTGCTCCTTGGTTATATTGGAAAATATGATATATATTGGCCTATATATATATAGTTTATATATAAGCTAGTTTGTAACACAGAAATGGTTTTGGAATTATTATGAATTGTTTTTATTCCACACAACATTCTTGCTTAGATTTTTGCTTATTGTTGCGTTGCGAGTTACTGCTGAATAACAAAAGCCTATCGCAGACGTGAGCATTTGCCTGAGCTAATAATGGTCATGTGTGACATTTAGACGAGCAGACGAGAGCTATTGGCTGAGCTAGAGAGGCAATAACTTTAAATATGCAAAAGCACGTATTTTTTATTCTCTTCTAAGTTCATTCATTGCTGAAGCTCACACAGTTCGCACACATGAGATGTTTTTCCACGCGTAATAGACAGAAATTATGGATAACACGATGGAAATTTTCCTCACGAGCACGCCTCTAATTCCGCAGGAAAACCTACCCCAGACGAGTATTGCCACACGTGGTCATTAGATCAGCGAAATCAATGCTCACGTCTGCGTAAGATATACCCTAGCACGAACTGTAGTAAGGCCTGGGGCCGGTTGTATCAAGCCCGTTTAGCTTAAACGGTGGATAAGTCAAAATGAAATAACACTCTTACATCTCTCTTGAATGAGTCAACTTGAATATTATGCACTGAATAAGTAGTTGTAAACAGTATCTTTGTATTAAGGTCGAAAACATTTTGTTCGCTTGTTGAATAAAACGGCAGACTTGCTTTCTATTTTGAACTTATCCACCGTTTAAGCTAAACGGGCTTGATACAACCGGCCCCAGATATGTGCAAGGGCGAATGGCTTCAAGACACAGGCAATACCAATCCTACGGGCCCACACACACTGGACGCGACTCGCAAATAAATTCGATGTTTAAAGAACATTTTGAGAGATATGGGCACCAGACCAGTAAAAATGTGTTATCATTCAGTAATTACCAAGAATATCACAACATTGTCAAAATTAGCAGCTTTTGAAAGCTGAAAACTTGGTAAAAATCGCGTTGCGTTGGCAAATCGCGTCCGGTGTGTGTCGGCCTTACAGGCGATTCCACTCAGTGACAACTATGAGTACTACTACGGAGATACCGTTCCATCTTACCGTTTTCTTTGTTATTTAGATTTCTCCACCGTCTTTCAAAGTGTACTGCTGCCAGCAGAGGGTATCACGAGCATTTGTTGAATACATGCACATAAATTTAATTGCTACGTGAATACATATTGCCCAAAACTGTACATGCAGATTGAAATAAGAGTTGGCTGACGAGACGGCGACATCATTGCCAACGGCAACGAATGCTTGTATGGATGACGTAATTCATATAAGATTCTCGGTGGAGAAAATATCGAAGGATAAAAAATACAAAGACCAGAAAAAAAACGAAATTCTTAATGCAATCTGTGCTTTGTTGAACAGCAATGGCGGAACAGTGGAAATACGTGGTGAAGAAACGGAAGGTAACTTGGTCTCCACCACGATACTCCACTCCTTTACTCGAACGCTTGAACAATCGTTACAATGCAGGTTGGGAGCTCATAAAACCGAGTCGGTAGTTATTATCGACGACAAAAATCAGAAAATGATAGCAATTAGAGTCAGTAAAGCTCGCTTTCTCGTCACAATGAAATACAATCTTTACCGACCAACTCAAAGACAAGTCGAGCTTTTTGGCAATGACAATCTCCAGCATGTGGTAAAAATATTGAACAGAAAATTTGTTGATCAACCTGTCCAACTTGACTCACACGAGAAAATATTTTCCAAAAATGAAAACTGTTCCTTCAGAGAAAATGAGGTGATTCAATTCAAGCTCCTGAAATCAGTTTCATCAAAGCGCGTCACACTCGCAGATCGTATGATTGGTAAAAGTAACAAATTCAGCTGTTACGTATCAGCGTTCGCTAACCACAGGGGTGGTCACATTTACTATGGTATTGATGATGATGGCATTGTTTATGGGGAGGACACAGAAAACATTTCCGAAATTGAAAAGAAAGTTGAAAAAGCCATCCAGAAGATGATCTGGTTTGACGTGATTGGTCAACCAAAACGAGGAGAACACTGGGAAATTTTCTTTCAACCAGTGCTGGACGAGAAGTCCAACCCTATCCCATCAACGTTTGTGATCGTGATCTTTATCGCTCCTTGTTTTGGTGGAGTGTTCGCAGAGGAACCAGAAAGCTATGAAATGGTGGAGGGAAAAGTTGAAAGAATGTCGTTCACAACTTGGAAGGAGAAACTACCGCCTGTTGGTCTGAACAAGAGAAAACTGGAAGTTCCTTCCACAATTAAACGTATTTCATTAAGTCCTGCGGCAAAAAAACGTTGCTGTGAGATTCATGAAGTTTTAACCGAGGCCATTAATAACGCGAGATGGGAATATTTTGCGAGTTGCGCCAGGCATCATGAACAAAAATATCCCAACAATCTTGAGGTACATTTAGTAGTGTTGTCGAGAAGAGTAACGGCAAGTTATCGACAAGGTAATATTCACACAGCGTCAATCTTGCTTGCTAAATTCGAAGAATGTTTACCTCGAGCAGACGAACCACTTGTTTTTAAACTGCTTTTTCAGTCATTAAGGGCAGCATTTGCGCGTGCGTCTAGAAAATCTGCTGAATCTCGAGATATCTTAATTAAAGCTTTAACCTTGGCAGAAAACATAGAACCCGGACTTTGTACTGCCGCTCCCTATTTAATTCTATCGTCAATTTATGATAGTAGTCAAAATGATGCAGAATTATCGCCGGAAATACTTTGTATGAAGGCATTGCAACACCTAGAGTATGTTGAAGATGCTCCAATGACACGGGCAGACCTGTATCATCTTGCGCACATCACATTAGCAGCATATCATCTGGGATATAATTTGTCAGGAAAGATGATCAAAAAAGACATCGATAAAGAGAGTCTTCGAAAAGCCCAAGCAAGTATAATGGCTGTTTATCGATCAGTATGTGAGGGAAATCCGCTAACGACATACAGAGAGATTTGGTTGACATTGGCACAATCAATGCTTTACATTAGACACTCACAACTCCAACCTGAAAAGGATACGAAATTCCTCAACACAGCAATTAGTTTTGCAAAGAAAGCTGAGAATCTCGCCAATGATTCTGGTCTCGTGGAAATAGTTCACTTGGCTAAAAATCTCAGTCAACAACTGTCTCTAGACGAAAGTGAATTTAAAATATAAGTGAATCTATTTTACACATCTCTACCATAATCGCTAATTATTCAAGTTTCTACCAAAATTAAACGTATTTCACTAAGTCCTGCGGCAAAAAAGGACGTTAAAACCTCATAAGTCTCATGGGCGTTGCCGTGAGACTTATGAGGTTTTAACCGAGGCCATTAATAATGAGAAATGGGAACCTATTGCGAGATGGGCCAGTTATTTTGAACAGAAGTATCCAACAAAATTATCGACAAGGCTATATTCCAAATGCATCCAAGAATGTTTTCCCCAAGCAGAGCAACCGTTGCATGGTTTTTCTGTCTTTGAAAGCAGCGATAGCGCGTGTGTCTGGCAAATCATCTGAATCTCAGAAATTTCAGCGGACGCTTTAACCATAGTGGAAAACGTAGAACCCGGACGTTGTGCTGTTGCTGTCTATTTAGTCGCTGCGTCAATTTATGAATGACAAAACGACGCAGGATTATCGCCGGACATACTTTGTATCAAGGCCCTGGAACACCTGGAGTATGTTGAAGATGCTCCAGTGACACGGGCAGACCTGTATCATAATGCTCACATCACGTTAGCAGCAGCATAATTATCATCTGTGATATAATTTGCCAGGAAAGATGATCGAAAGAGTAATCGATCGATAAAGAGAGCATTCAAAAAGCCCAAGCAAGTGTAATGGCGGTAAATCAATCAGTTTGTGATGGAAATCCACTAATGATATACAGGGAGATTTGGTTTGCATTGGCATGATCAATTCTTTACATTAGACGCTCGCAACCTGAAAAGCAAACGAAATTCCTCGACGCGGCATTTCATGAGGACAATGACGAAAAAATACTGATTGCAGTCAGGAAATCTAGCTTCCTCGTCATGGTTAATTGGAATTTGTACGTACCCGTTAATACACAAGTTGTGTGCATTACCAAAAATGGTAATGGTAAAATGTTAATGGTGAAAATTATCAACAGAAGATTTGTTGATCAACCCGTCCAACTTGGCTCACACCAGAAAACATTTCTCAAAAATCGAACTGTTGCTTCAGAGAAAATGAGGTGATTCAATTCAAGCTCCTGAAATCAGATTCATCAAAGCGCGTCACACTCGCAGATCGTATGATTGGTAAAAGTAACAAACTCAGTTGTTATGTATCAGCGTTCGCTAACCACAAGGGTGGTCACATTTACTATGGTATTAATGATGATGGCGTTGTTCAGGGAGAGAAAACAGAAAAAAAATTTGAAATTGAGAAGAAAGTTGAAAAAGCCATCCAGAAGATGATCTGGCCTGACGTGATGGGTCAACCAAAACGAGGAGAACACTGGGAAATTTTCTTTCAACCAGTGCTGAACGAGAAGTCCAACCCTATCCCATCAACGTTTGTGATCGTGATCTTTATCGCTCCTTGTTTTGGTGGAGTGTTCACAGAGGAACCAGAAAGCTATGAAATGGTGGAGGGAAAAGTTGAAAGAATGTCGTTCACAACTTGGAAAAAGAAACTACAGCCTGTTGGTCGAAACAAGAGAAAACAAGAAATTCCTTCCACCATGAAACGCATTTCATTAAGTCCTGCGGCAAAAAAGCGTTGCATCAAGGCTAATGAACATTTAACAGAGCTAATTAGTAATGGAAAATGGAAATCCGTCACGAGATGCGCCAGTCAACTTCTACGCACAGCAATATCCTGACTAGCTTGACGTACATTTAATAGTGCTATCATGGGAAGTAATGGGGGATTATCGACAAGGAAAAATTCATAGAGCGTCTATCTTGCTTAAAAAATTCGGCGAGCTCTTTCCCCAAGCAGAACAACCCTTGATTTTGAAGTGCTTTCTCTGTTTTTGAAAGCAGCAGTAGCGTGTGTGGCGAAGTTGCTGAATCTCGAAACATAGCAACTGATGCTTTAACCAAAGCGGAATGCATAGAACCTGGAGTTTTTACTAGCACACGTATTTATTTTTCTGCTGTATCAGTTTATGATAACCAAAACGACGCAAGATTATCGCCAGACGTACTTTGTATCAAGGCACTGGAACACCTGGAGTATGATGAAGATATTCCAGTGGCACGGGCAGACCTGTATCATAATGCTCACATCATGTTAGCGATACATGTACTGGGATATAATTTTTCAGGAAGGTTGATTAAAAAAGACATCGACAAAGCGAGTATTCAGAAAGGCAAAGCGAGTTTAATGGCTGTAAGTCAATCAGTGTTTGAAGGAAATCCACTAACGGGATACACAGAGATTTGGTTCACATTGGTTCAATCAATGCTTTACATTAGACACGCGCAACTCGAACCTGAAAAGGAAACAAAACTCCTCAAAGATGCATTTCAGATCGCAAAGAAAGCTGAGAAACTCGCCAAAGAATCTGGTCTCTTGGAAATGGTTTGCTGGGCTCAGAACACAATTGTTTCTTGTACTGAAGCATTGTTGCTATCGAAGTTGACGAGAATGGAAAACATTAAGTTATATAAAGTACAGGAAATATTGCATGTAACAGAAACAAACTCATATGTAAATAGGTTTTTTTACTGTAGATCTCCTTGAGAATAAATTGAATAAACTCGTTTTTAAATTTATTTTTCAGGTAAATAATGCTGTTGTTCTTTTTGGGAGAACGAATCGGAAGGGAGGGGTGGTTGTGACACGTCTCGAATAATTAGCCTTTCTCGCGATGACGTTTTTGGGGTACTTTCAATTTTCTCTGTTCTTTCAATGTGTTTCAAAAATTATAACAACATGAAAAGCATTTTTTTAGAATCAACAGACCATTTGAAGAATAACCGCTGCCTAAAATTAAAGACAGTCGCCGTTACGAAGTCATACACTCACAGTTTTGTTAAAAAATACCCCAAAAACGTCATCGTGAGAAAGGCTAATTGACCAGTTGTTCCTGGTGGACTTTCTTGTAGTTCCCTTTTGTCTGCCCGACGAGTGATGCGCTAACGGAAGCTTCACTTGTTTTGGTAAAGCAATATGTTTCATTTCAAGAGGTTGGAATTTACTATGTATATCCATTGTAAGACCCGCTACGCTGATTTCCCTTGCAGTGTTTTTATCTAGATTGTTGAGATACGTGGGTTGAGAGTCCCTATATCACGACACTGTTTTTGTTAAGGATATTTCATTTCAAGAGGTTCGCATTTACTATGTTTAACCATTGCAGGATCCGCGTCGCTTATTTCTCCTGCTGTGTCTTAATCGAACGTTAATTGCGTGGGTTGAGAGTCCTTATCACGACACTGGAGATAATATCTCGTATGGGGAAACCCTGAATATATTTAGAAACTTGCTATGCACACGATTGGCAATACGCGATGGGGAAATTACAGCAATAAACCTAAAGTATAGATCGGATTTTCGACGCTTTTGTATCGTTGAAAATATGTTTTATTTGCCACTGTATTGAAAGTGGAAGCAGTGATATAGATTAACGCCCGTATTCAAAAAGCTCACTCACACTCCTACTCATCGAGTGTGACATAATAAATTTCTTTAATGCTGATCAATGAGAAAGTTTTTTCTGAATAGATGGAAAGATATAAGATAAATCACTGAAAATCAAGCCCCTGTTCGGCTGGAAATTCCGCCATTAAAACGTTATGAGAAGATTAAGATCTCCCACTCAATGAGTTTGAGTGTGAGTGAGCTTTTAGAATACAGGCGTAAGTAATGTATAAATTGTATTTACAGGTTCTACTGTTTTATATTGTATACTAAATTACATTCTTTTTACAAAATACCCAACCGAGGATCATGCATTGTGCGACTTCTGCGGTTCAATGCAAAATACGAAGTGTCGAAATACTTGTGTTTGAGTGGTTTATGAGGGTTTGATTGAAACTAAAAAGTTCTATTTATTCTGGCCGTACAAGCGTGAGAAGTTTCGGGGAGGCAGATGAATGTCTTTCCGGCGAGTCATGCTACAGTTTACGAAATGACCAAACGACATAATAAATCTTTTACTTTCAGTTTAAGAAATCATTTCTTTCTATATTATATGATCTTATTTGATCTAAATATTTTTTGGTCTTCGTAAATGGCTTTTTTTCTTTTTTCCAACGGCCCGTTTTGCTATTCCTGAATATATTGACCATCTTTCATACTCAACTTCTTTTGCTAAATAAATGTCTCATTTCAAGACAGAGGTTGATCATTTACTGTGTCAGATATGCATAATTTATTTTCCTACAGTGCTTTTATAGAGTGTTGCGTGGGTTAAGTGCTCTTCAGGCTTCCCAAACTCCTGCTGAGAATCTCGTAAAGGAAATACCTGAATATAATTAGGAACATGCAGTCATGTTATGTAACTACTACGAAATAAAGTAAGTTAACTCGCTCGTGTCCCAGATACGCAATTACATATCAAAGATTCCCTAAAAAGTGTACATTGTGCGGTAAGTACTCACAGTCATATACATAATTGGGTTTTGTTTTATAAATGAAGTGAAATCCAGGCAAAATTTCATGTGAGCATGTATACTTTCGTTTTATGATTTGGAGTCCAACAGTGCTTTAAGACAAGTCTTCAATTCAGGTTGATAAAAATATAGGATATAGTTGACGTTTTATATAAAGACATCGATCTTCCGTATAGTGGATGGAGCAACACGTAAAATTTGAAAACGTACTTGAAATACAACTCTATTGCATGCAATACATTGCCTGAAGATGTCTTCAAAACGTTACTTTGTAAAATATTTTATTCTAAATTGTTCGAATAGCTTTTGGTAAAGCAAGTCGTTCAGCTCTTGTGTTTCAAATATGACTGATACAATTCCCAACTGGCACGCGTTTTGCCTTTAGCAACAATATTGTACGTTATATGATTACCATGTATAAACATATACCGAAAATGTATCTCGACATAAACGTGTACTTATTTAGACACTAAGGCGAAAGATATATACGGTTAATAACGGGTGTCTAAAGTTGGTCATAGTATAAGTACTATTGAAAAACAAGATATACAATAAGAAGGTCCTTTCTTAATGTAAAATTTATCGTAATGACATGAATATCACTCAGTCTCATAATACTTCCGCTATTCATCCGACGATGAATAGTAAATTTTTGGCTGAATTTTTTTCTATGAAGCTGGGGGGTAGGAACGATCCTAGACTTTCGTGAATGGGGGCCGTTTCAAAATTTCCGAAAAGAAAATTGAAATGCGAATACTCTCCTGACATGCAAACGAGGGCCACTCTATAAGTTAAGGAAATAACCAAACCCATAATTACTTTATGCCGGTCTCTTAAAGCTTAGTTCTCGTCAGCGGCCCGTTTTTCCACCGCTGAATAAGGTCATCTCTGATACTCCACTTGTTTTGCTAATGGAGTACCTCAATGTAAAACAGAGGTTAACAATTGACTGTGTAGGATCTCTATAGAACGTTGCATGGGTTGAGAGTCCTTATCCCCGACATGGGGAGAATCTCGCATAGGGAAAGTACCTCCTAGCCTAGATAATAAATTTATCTACGCAGCAAGTTAATTAATACGCTTCATACAAGTCCTTAAATATGTCAGATTCTCAAAAAAGCGTGTATACCTCGTGTGGTAAGTACATAAACTGATATTTAAATGTCTTTTTATTTTGTAAACTCAGTCATTTCAGGCAAAAAATGCATATGTATACGTACCATATTATTAGAATCAAACAGTGCTATAAAACTGGTCGCGGCAACAACTTAAGTTCATGATGGTATCTTAAACCATCTTCGGACTTACGGCGCTTTTCTTTGAGCAGCAAAAATGGTCAAACCGATCATAATTTATTTTGAATTCGAATAGAGAATTTTGTTCAGAATATAGTGGGTAAACTGCATTTTCCGTGCTGGGCATAAATAGCGATATATTTGACACAATGCAGATTTCTTGAAACACTCTAAAATACCAGTAATCTGTCTGTACTGAGATACAGCAGGACCGAGCGGAAAATAGTGTAAACTGTAAAATAATGTAAAATGTAGTTTGAATACAATTATTTCTAGTATAATGTTATATATGCATCCATGCATGCACTTTGTCTTTACAAAACGTTACTTTTAAAAATCCTCAAAGCTAATTTGTATAAATAGCTTTTTATAAGCAACGTGTTCGGCTCCCGTGTTCAAAATATGAATACGTTTCCCACCAGCACAGTATTGTTGCTACACTATTTGCCCAGAATATCTAAAATATATTATTGCATCAGCGCGTATATTTGTCAGTTTATCTATTGTGGCCGAAGACACGGTATTTTACAGCTATTCGATACCAACAGAGTCACAAGCAAAGACTGAGTTTCAAAACACCCTCAATTTCGATTTCAAAGCGACTCAATTCGATGACAAACTAAATGGTAAAAATTATATCAGTTTAGCTGACTGTTCTGTTATTTAGATTTCCTTACTGTCTTTCAATGAGTACTAACAGTATAGGTGGTATCACAATCATTTAATGAAATATACATACACATAAATTATATTATTTTTGTCTATTCAGCGGTAGATCGCAACTGAAAAACTTTTCTCATATTTAGCTGACGAGATGGCGACAGCAATGCCAGCGAATTCTTCCCGGAATGACGTTATTCATACAATATTCTCGGTGGAAAAAATATCGAATGATAAAAAATACAAAGAACAGAAGAAGCAGGAAGTTGCTATTGCAGTCTGTGCCTTGTTGAACAGCAATGGTGGAACAGTGGAAATACGTGGCGAAGAAACGGAAGAAAACTTGGTTTCCACCACGATACTCGACTCCTTAACTCGAACGCTAGAACAGTCATCACAAACCAGTTTCGGAGCTCAGATACCCAATTCTTTTATAAATTTCGAGGACAACCATGGGAAAATGATAGCAATTAGAGTCAGTAAAGCTGGCTGCCTCGTCACAATTAAATACAATTTTTATCAACCTGCTCAAAAGCTAGTTGGGATCTTTGAGAACAATGTCCTGGACACGTCAGAATTAATGAACAGAAGATTTGTTGATCAACCCATCCAACTTGGCTCACACCACAAAACATTTCTTAAAGATCAAAACTGTGGTCTTAGAGAAAATGAGGTCACTCAATTCAAGCTCGTGAAATCAGCTTCATCAAAGCGCGTCACACTCGCAGATCGTATGATTGGTAAAAGTAACAAATTCAGTTGTTACGTATCAGCGTTCGCTAACCACAGGGGTGGTCACATTTACTATGGTATTGATGATGATGGCATTATCCATGGAGAGGAAACAGAAAACATTTTCGAAATTGAGAAGAAAGTTGAAAAAGCCATCCAGAAGATGATCTGGCCTGACGTGATTGGTCAACCAAAACGAGGAGAACACTGGGAAATTTTCTTTGAACCAGTGCTGGACGAGAAGTCCAACCCTATCCCATCAACGTTTGTGATCGTGATCTTTATCGCTCCTTGTTTTGGTGGAGTGTTCACAGAGGAACCAGAAAGCTATGAAATGGTGGAGGGAAAAGTTGAAAGAATGTCGTTCACAACTTGGAAAGAGAAACTACGGCCTGTTGG